AAAAGGGAATAAAAACCCCGGAAAGGAAAATAGGTATTTATTTCGGGACCAAAATTTTTAAAAAGCGGCCCTATTCTTTGGAAAAAATTCCCTGGCTCCCCAAAAAAAATAATTCCAAGGTTCGGTTTGGTGGGGTTTATATAGCCCCCCCCACCCATTTTGGAAATAGGTTTTAGGTAGGTATATGTTTGAAACCCCGGGGGGGGGGGGGGGGGGCCCAAGATTCGGACCAGGAAGAAATTTGGGGCCCATGTTTTTCCCCCCCTCTCGGTTTTCATTTTTTTAAACCCGGGGGACAATTTTTTTCCCCCCCCCCCCCCCCCCCCCACAACACCCCCTCCAATCACTTTATTTCCAAAATTATTATTTTTAATTATATATATTTGAAACTACCCATACATTTTTTCAATCCCAAGATAAATTAAAGCTCACCCAATAGACACACACATACGTACGTGTGTATGTGTGTAGGATAGGTTTACTTTGGATACATCATTGATCACACACACACACGCACGAGTGTGTTCATTAATTCAATATGAAATTCAAATGTCCAAATGCTAGTTTACTATATTTACTTGACTTAGATATACTATGCACAATATTTAATTTTATTTTATTTGTATTTATATTCGTATTTATATTTCTATTTGTGGTGATGCATGGCCCTTAAAGAAGAAAAGATAAAGAGGTAAAGGGCGAAAAACCCATTTTTTTGACTCATGATCAATCACCTTTTGAAAAAGAGAGAAAATTAAATAATTGGCTATTTAATCAATTATTATTTACAAAAATACGAGAGAAAAAAGAAGCAAAAAAAATCACCTTTTGCACTTATCATTATCCATCAAATATGCATACACTTTGGATCGATAAAGCTATCTATGTATCCTCGGGTGTATTCGATGCTACAACTGGTTATTTATATCGAGTCAATTTCAATCTTAGATATGATTAAATAATAATCCGCGAATCACAAATGCGCATAAGTGTGTGTGAAATGATTATTTATAATTTACGTTTGAAATCCACTCAATATAGATAATCAGATGTAGCATCTAATTATCCATTTATCTTTGATGTATGGGAGATTCTCCAATTTAATTGGCACACACACACACACACACTATTATGGTATATATCTTTAATTTGTTAAAGGAATATTTGTGTAGATAAAATCTTCATAGTGAAGAAACGCACACACACAATGAGATACACAAAATCTAGGTTTTTCTTTGTGATATCCAATTATTATGAGAAGAAAGCTACATTTAGATAAGTTATGAGTACTTATGCACATTCTGCATTATCATACAACCCCGCAAGAAATGGTCTAGCAATTAGAGCAAGTGTGTGTATTAACTGATTCAAATTCGAATATTTTTGTCAACAGTCGTTGTGTGGAGTACGTCTGTAGCATGATTTGCAAGCTATTATAATACGAGACTGCACGTGTATGGTTGGCTACAGTTCTCGATTTCATTTGCTTCACGTTCTAATCGTAAAAAGGTTGTCCACATTTCTTTTGGCAAAATTAAATCTCTTAAAATTCCCATGCAGCGTGCCCATACTTCTAACATGGGAAATTATTTCATTTTTTCTGCAAATAATTCCTTTTGTCAGTTGGAATGCTTAGACACTTTCAGATACCATTTTCAATGCTAACATTCATACCTCTCAATAATTAGTTGTACGTGCTTACATACATACCTTTTAATGTGTGTGATCTAAGATTTAGGTAATTTGCTTTCTTTTTATTTCTATCTTTTGTTCAATATATAGCTTTCCAAAAGTTGAAATTAAAAAAAATGCACTTACCAATGTTTATACCTTTTCTTTTCTTACTAAAGGCAAAATGATGATGATTAATTAGTACAAAGTTCGAGAAATTAGATGTTACATCTGGTTATTTACACTGGGTGGGTTTGACGATGATTAATTAGTACGAAATGATAAAGAAATTAAGGGAAAATTACAACCGCCCCTGAGGTAAGGTCTATTTGCGAAAAAAACTCTAACGTTTGCATCATTACATCCATCCCCTATAATATGTAGATTTCTTACATTAACACCCATTTGTAGGGGGTGGATATGAGAAATTTAAAAACAACAAGGGGCTGGATGTAATTTCTTAAAATGGAGGGAGTCTGTCGTAGATAAACTTAACCTCAGGGAGGTGGTTGTAATTTAATAATGGTGTCAATTTTACTATCACCCAACTTCAGAACTAAACAATTGGGCCTACATTTTAGTGGGTGCTATCTCCTGTTGGGCTTACCGTAATTGAATATGCAGTCCTTCAAATACTAGATTATTAAGTGGGCCTTTAGATTCACTTCAAAATTAAACATTTTTCAATTATTTTTCTTTTTTTATTTTTTTTTCCCGAAGTAATAATTAATATCAATTTCGTTTAAAAAAGAAAACAAAAAAACCATTACAAATATCGGAAATCAAAATTCAATGTTTTAGTAACATTTACTAGTATTTCTCCAGTGCAATGCACGGGATAACATTTAAAAAATAGAAAAACTGATTATTTAAATAAATGAAAAAGAAATTATAATAAGAAAATATATTACAATTTTATCATAAAATTTATTAGTAAACTCGTAATATTTCAATTCCAATAAAAAACTGATTTTTTTTTTTAGAATTTTCAAAATTCAGAAAAAAAAAGAATAATATTTTATTATAAAATAAAATTTTTTAATTAGTGTCCAATTAGAAGAAATGAAAATCTGAAACCTCACAAAATGGTCACAGAAAACTCCAAAGAGCGGCCATGGTTGCTTTTCCACAAGAGATTCCCTCAGACACGCAACAAACTTATTCACCACATAGCTCAAGATTCATGTGGGCCCCTCTCTCCCTCCAATTCTCCCAATCTCCATAATAAAACATTCAAATTTCTTACTAGAAATCAAGCAGAAAACCCTAACTCTTGTGTTCTGAAAATGGAGTCCCTCAGCTCAAATCTCGATTCCGCCTTGTCGAATATCTCACTGCTCTCCAAAATTCACTCAAAACCCACCTCAAATCTCTTCTCTTCTTTCAGATTATCGAGTTTCAACAGCCGGAGAAGAAGCAAGAATCATCTTTGTCCGAACCTCGTTTTCTGTAATAAGAACAGCTCCCCACAAGCCGGTGATCAATTCCTTACAGCTGAAAATAAAGATTTAATTAAAAGGGTCGGCCGAGGTGTGCTCGGTTTCGCCGCCGCCGTGTCGTTGCTCTGTGATTCGCCGGCGTTTGCTGAATCACTGACGGTGGCTTTCCCTGTTTCTCACAACCGTGAGGTGACCAATTTTTTTTTTTAAATATTTATTTATTTATTGTTTCATTTCATATTAATAAATATTATTTTAATCAGATTTCTTAACTTTGTTTTGAAACAGGTGAATAGTGTGCAAAGAACACTTGTGGAGGCATGGGGTTTGATTAGAGAAACCTTTGTAGATCCAACTTTCAATCATCAGGGTAAGAAAGACCAAAATGCCCCTCGTCGAATTTCTTTCGTTTGATTAGTTTTTCAAGTATTGAAAATTGAAATGAATGTAGTTGTGTTCTTTGAATCAATAGTTGACAACATTAGGATGAGAGCTTCGTGTTTATTGTTTATCGGTTTTTTCCTTGTGTCCGAACCAAATCAATGAACTAATAATCCGAAGGGGACTTATGTTTTACAGATTGGGACTTAAAATTACAACAAACGATGGTCGAAATGTTTCCACTTAGATCAGAAGATGCTGCATATAACAAAATTAAAGGGATGCTTTCGACTCTTGGAGATCCTTTTACGCGCATAATCAGCCCTAAGGTATTTTTTTTCGTGTCTTAATTAATTAATTTTAATTAATGAAGTTCAACTTTACTTACGATCCATTTTCCGTACATTAATGGGCTGCATATATATGATTTTTTTTACATGCAGGAATATCAAAGTTTTAGAATAGGAAGTGACGGAAATTTGCAAGGCGTCGGCTTATTTATCAACGTTGAACCGCAGACCGGACACATGGTGGGTTGACTTTACGCATTTCCGTACTTTTTTTACAATATCGAATATTAATTTGCTTTATTTTTCTGGTTAGTTATGAAGTTTTTTTTTTTTTTCAAGATTGGCATGTAATTCTCGATTTTACTTTATTTCAGGTTGTTTTATCGTGCATAGAGAATAGCCCAGCTGCGCGTGCTGGTATACGCGAAGGAGACGAGCTAATGGAAATAAACGGTAATAATTTACACAAGTGCTAAATAAACTAGAAAAATAGTTTATTGATGAATAGTTTTAATAAAAAATATTTGACAAAATTTATAATAATCGGGTTGATGATTTTTTTTGTGGTGCACAATAGGTGAAAGACTCGACGGAGTGGCAAGTGAAGCAGCTGCACAAAAGCTGAGGGGACATGTCGGAACAACTGTTACAGTAAAAGTCCACAGTGTAAGATCACTTCATTTGCATTTAAACAATAAATACTTTTTGATGAATTTTTTTTCAAAGTATAATCGTAAATGTCGATTTTGATAGCTGGTTAATTAATTTTGAACTTCATTTATATTTATCCAGGTTGATGACTTTGGGAGTTCTTATATCAGAGAGGTTAATATACCTCGTGAAGTAATCAAGCTTTCGCCGATATCGAGTGCTATAATTCCTCACAAATTGCCAGACGGACATTTATCGAAGACGGGATATGTGAAATTGGCAACTTTTTCTCAGGTATTTAATTTTCTCGAGCATTTTTTCAACTCATTAAAATCGATAGAAATTAGCCGTATTATTGACGCACGAGGGTAAAAAGGTAATTTCGATTGTGTTGTATAGACTGCAGCATTGGAGATGGAGAATACGGTTCATGAGATGGAGAGTCAAGGTGTTCAATCATACATATTGGATCTTAGAAACAATCCAGTAAGTCTCTTCTTCGAGTTGTTTGAGCCGTAATTTTTTTTCTTTCTTATTTTACTTTTATATAGAAATACTAATTCCACACCATCTCTATCTCATGAAGGGCGGTTTGGTAAAAGCAGGACTCGATGTGGCTCAGATCTGGCTCGACGGAACCGAGACTTTAGTCAACACTATCGATAGAGACGGGAATATGTTACCAATAGACATGATCGATGGTCATGCTTTAACACGCGATCCACTAGTTGTCCTTGTAAGTTTGATTTCAATAAATATATATAGGTTTATTTCATTCAGCTCCTCCATATTTTCTCTAATTGCTAAAATAACTCCCCGTATTAGTTTAATAGCAAAAAGCCCCCTATGATTTTTTTTAGCAAACTGACCCCTAAAGACTCTCTATTTAGGGGGTTGTGTGCTAAAAAAATACATTATAAAGGGGTTTTTGCTAATGTTAATAACAATTCGATACAACACAGAGGTAGTGTGTGTGTGTGTGTGAGAGAGAGAGAGTAACTATTTTCCTTCTCGAAAAAAGGTGAATGAAGGGAGTGCAAGTGCAAGCGAAATTCTCGCAGGTGCACTCCACGACAACGGTCGAGCAATTCTCGTCGGGCATAGAACTTTCGGGAAAGGAAAAATACAGGTTTTTTTTGTACAAAATTTTTTTTTAAACAAAATTATGTACTTCATAAAATATTGAAAAAAATATTATTGCAGAGTGTGACGGAGCTACACGATGGATCGGCCCTTTTTATTACCGTGGCTAAATATTTGTCGCCGGCACTTCACGACATAGACCAGGTCGGCATAAATCCGGATGTACAGTGCACAACCGATTTCTTGAATTCTTCGCCAAAAGATTCCTTCGGATCAGCTTCTTCTTCTTCTTTAGAGAAAGATTCTTGTATTTTGGTGGCGGAGCATCAACTCGATGTTCAAGAATCGAAAGGCTCGGCTTCTTGATTATAGTGTGATTGTGTAATAAAATCGCATTTAGTTTCGGCTCCATAGAGAGAGCTGTGCAAGTTATTTTGTAAAAATTATATGTATAGTATAGCAGCTTGTTTAGATATATACTTTTGTGAATAATGTGATGTAGATTGTGAGTATGATGGTAGCAGAAGTTGCCAATTTGGTAAAGGATTTAATTTGTATCATAATTCATATGAAATTAATTAATATTGAGATTTGGGATATTAGCTCGGAAGGCAATTGAGGTAAAAAAAAATTATTCAAAAAAAAAAGACATAAATAGAGCCCCTGAATATGGCAAAAGTCACTTTCGAATTGAAGCAAATATTTGTTCAGATCTTCCTTCGTGTTTAGAAAGTTCAAAACTCACGTTTTGTTCGTTGTGCTGTAAAATTCAAACCTCTTAGGTCGTTGTATCTTGAGAGGACAATTGGCTAAGAACGTAACCACATATACGGGCCAATATTGTCTTACGGAGAAAGAATATAATCCTTGTCTCGACTTCTTTTTCCGTTCAAACGTTCTGTTCAAAAGCGCATTTGGAACTATATCTCGTAAATAACAAAGAAAGTGATCATCATTAAGCTTGCTCGACAATTTCACTTTTCCGGCGAAATAACTCGGGACATTTTTTAATCTAGGCCAAGTTGTATAGAAATAGGACAAATTTGGAATTATTTCATAATTACAATAAAGCGTTACTATAAGTCCCCGCATTTTACGAGGACGACATGTGTCCCATGGACCTATAGATTAGCAGTGGACAAGAAGTGCCATTTGGAATGACGGCTTTTCTGGAGCTGCCATGTCTCAGCCAAATTCAGCTTTATAATAATAATATAAAGGTAAATTACAACCACTCCTGATGTATAGTTAATTTACGAAAAAATTCTTCTTGTTTGGATAATTACATCTACCCCTTCAACTATGATTTTTTCTTACATCTTCACTTTTATGGTGTCAAATTCAACACAATCATCTAGAATTCGTGGAATGTGCTCTAGTTTGGACTCGTTTTGTGTAAAAATACAGTTTCTGATACACCACAATCTGATATATACAAGCCAAAAAACACATATCATGATCATCTTGCTTCGAAATGTGGAGTTCGAATGGGATAAAATAAAACGGGTACGAAAGTGATAATATTCCATGCAATTTCGAAGATTCCACTAAATTTGAATCCACAAAGATGGACGTGTAAAGATGTTATGTTTATCAATCAAATTGAAATGGCTAAATTACAACACCCTTGAAGTACGATCAAATTACGAAAAACTCTCTTTTTTGGGTAATTACAACCATCCATCAACTATAAACTTTCTTACACGTCCACCCTTGCGGTTTCAAATTTAGTGGAATCTTTTAGATTATATGGAATATTCTCAATTTTGTACCCGTTTTATTCCATTCGAACTCCACATTTTGAAGCTAGATGATCATAAGATGTGTTTTTTGGCTTGTATATATCAGATTGTGGTGCATCAGAAATTGTATTTTTGCACAATATGAGTACAAACTAGAGAACATTCCATGAAATCTAGATGATTATGTTGAATTGGGACACCATAAGGGTGGAGATGTAAGAAAATTCATAATTGAGGAGTAAATGTAATTATCCAAATAATATGAGTTTTTTCGTAATTTGACCATATCTCAGGGGTGGTTGTAATTTACCCAATTGAAATTAATTAGGAAGTTTCCCACATTGTGTGTGTGATTCTTGTTTTTTTAACAAAAATACGGTTAATTTGATGCCAATTTATAACTCAATAACATATAGAAACAGCAGAAAAATGTATGGATTAGAAAATGGTGAGAGGAAAAACCTTTGGATAACTTGTACATGTCAAGATTGGGACTTCTTTCCTATTGTTGCCCTGTTTTTTTCAAATTTTGGCAAATTGGTAAAACCTCAAATTCAAATATCTTTTTATTTGTGATGATTTTAATATTTAATAGTTCATCTAAGAAAACACATTTAGTGTTGATACCACATAATCACTGAATTATTACATTTTTTTTTGGCACTGTGATTTTTTTTTTAATTTCATAATCAAATTTGGTCAAAGTACCAAAATTAATGAAATAAATGAAAAATTAATGAAAATACATTTCATCCTCACACTTGGTTCCTTCATACATACTAGTTTCATTTCAAACTATCAAACTTGTTCTCCTCAAAAGAAAAAAGAAAAAAAAAATCCAAACCTAAAAAATCTCAAATGCATCTATTGACAAACAAATTATGCATCCACCCAAAAAAAAAAAAAACACCAATAATTTTTCTTTACAGTAAAACCTCAATAAACTACGATTTTTTCTCAAGATTTTGAGCATTATTCATTAGGCTTTTAGTCAACCAAATCGCAGTTTCTCTAGAAGAAACAGCATCGTCACCAAACGCCTTTAGCACACCGGACAACTCATCAAGCTTGTCTTGTTTGAACAATCTTGCACACACTTCAAGCAAAGACTCCAACGCATCAGCTCTTAATTGCCCCGGAATTTCCTTACTCTCCTCTCCACCAATCACGGAAGCAGCTTCTGCATTTACCAATTTACCCCTCGCCTCTCTCTCACTTCCCGTTGAGATAATACCCTCTTTGATTTTCACTGAACCCTTTTCACCATTGGTTGTTTTAACGTGCTTCTTGAGATTAGTTAAGATGCTCGGTTTAGGTGAATCTTCATTACTATTAAGAGATGATTTGGCAGAGTAGCTTGTGGGGTCCACCCTCTTGGTCTCGAGCTCTTCTTCTATCGAGACTTCACAGTCAAGTAAACTCGGATACTCTGTTTTAGTAATTTCTTGAAACAGAGGAAGCAGCTCCTTCTTCTGTTTTGGCTCCACATCTCTCTCTCTGTGGTTTCTTGAATTGCCGCCACTACTGCTAGGCGAGGGCTTTTTTGTCTTTTCACTTGAGTTGTTCGGGGAGGGCGACTTCACGGGGAGAAACACGGTGGATAGGTTGTGGCATCGAAGGAGAAACGGTTGTAAATGTGGGTGTCTTAACAGCTCTGCCGCCTAAGATGTGCGTTTTTTTACGACGTTAAAAGGACGATTTTACCCCTGCGAGTAATAAAAAAAGGATGGCGAAAAGTTTACGAACTTACTGTTGGCCTGTGCTCCGGGCTCTTCCTCAGCATGCTCTTTATAATCTGTTTTCTGAGATTAAATTTGTCATTTATAAACTGAATGTCATTTCATAATTTCGGTTTCGAATGAATTTCGAGAAGACTTACAAAGTGGAAGAGTATACGATAGGGAGTGGCGAGATCAAAGATCGGTTTATCTTGTTGATAAGTCCAGCCATATCCTAATTTAATTAACATTATAATAATTTTTAGCAATGTAGATTGCGAAAATGAGAGTGTGTTGATATATATGTTTGGATTCTGATAACTGCATAATAAAGCGAAAAGGTTGAACTTACGGGGGCTCTAAACGCTTGTTGGTGTGCAGCAATCTCAAACATACAACAACCTAGTAAATAGGAAAAACACGAGATTTTTTCAGAAACGAAAACATTTAAGAAAAAATGAATTTTGTAAATTCTTGTAATTTAAATTTAATATTACCTAGAGACCAAATGTCTGATTTATAACAATAAGGTTGTTCTGCAAGAAGCTCCGGGCACATATAGTTGGGGGACCCCACCTAATTCGAGGCACATAAATTATTCGTCAATATTTGTAGGAAAAAAAATATCAAAGTGGAATTATTTTTTAAATAAATCGTACTGTTGAGGCAAGGCCTTCTTCGCTGAGAATTTTTGCTAATCCAAAATCCCCTGTAAATAAACAAAGTGTAAAATAATTGAAAAATAATATATGAAAATACTGAATACGTTATTTTCTTACCGAGACGGATGTCATTTTCCTTTGTGACAAATATGTTAGATAACTGGAGAGAAAAAAAAATGATTCTATGTAAGAAAATTATCAAATTAAATTACGGAAATTAAATTCGATTACAAAACAAAGATCAAACCTTGAGATTGCCGTGAAGGATTCGATTCGAATGGAGATAGTCGATAGCTAGTAACAACTGAGTGAGCCATTTGCATACTTTCTGGGGAAGTATATATCGAACACTAAGTGTGAGTATAAGAGAGACTCCGATCCTAGCATATATTTTGTATAAGATTATCGAAATATATTACCTCCTCTGAAAAATATGCTCTTCTTGCCTTCTTTAATATTTCGAATCTGCAAATTGAAAATAAAAAGATAAATAAATATAAACAATTGCTATTTAGCCGATATTCAAAAATATTATTTCTCATCGTTTATCGTAAAGATACTCATGTATAAGTTACACATAGATGGTTAAGTTTGAGCTAAGTATAAGTACTTACATATTTCCAACTTCGCAGTAGTTGGTCACAATGCATATACAGTTTCCCTACAGAAAATATTCAGAAATTTAGAAAATCTTTCAAACACGAAAAATCAAGATTAACGAAACAATATAATACCTTGTCGACCCAAACATCTTTATATTCAACGATATACGGATGGCGTAGCTTTGGAATTAAACTCATCTGCAAACATAGACACGCATACATTAGAACTAACTCTCGGACAATCATTATTCATTGAACGTAATTCCGGAACACTCAAGAACGCAAGTATTTAAAAATAACCTCGTGGCACTCTTTGTTCTTGAAATTCTCTGTCTCCTTCGAGAGACGAATTTTCTTTAGAACATACCTGCAAGAGATGATTCAAAAAATTACTTAACCTCCACTCAAACTTCATGATAATTTATCGACAAGAAGCTTTCAGCTTCTTCAAAATTCGACGAGTCGAACAAGATGTTATGCCACATACTTATACTGTATAGGCTCTGATATAGATAAATGTGTGTTTGTGTGTGTGTGTGTGTGTGTGTGTGTGTGTGTGTGTGTGTAAAATACATGTTTCTTTTAAATAATTTAGGACCTGTAGTTTATGATTTTGATCAGATTAAATCTCAGCCCCTTTCAGATCAATTGTACTACCCAGTAATTACACATCTACCATGATTAAATCGATCCCCACACAAACAGACACCAAAATAAATAAATAAACAAACAAAAAATTTAAATAAATAAAAACTAAAAAGTGACATGTATATATATAATATATGCACGCGCAGCCATTGAAAGAGCTCGAAAAAGAAAATCCATACTTGTTATTCTCAGATTTATGGAGCACAAGAAATGCAGCACCAAAAGAACCTCTTCCAATCTGCTGTATTACTTCATAATCTTCAATTTTGGATACAGAATCGCCATTTTCTACCTCCGCCATCCCTTAAAAAGCAATAATCACCAGATGGGTCGGGTCAGCCTTAATTCAGAAAGAAAAAAAAATTTAATCTTTAAGCAAAAAATAAATCGATTTTCGAACTCACCGAGTTCCAATTTTGCGAGAAACTATGGATTATAATTTCTACAGAGTGCAGCCCCCACAAGCAACGAAGAAAAAAAAAGCAAATCTTGGTTGGGGCAATTCGTCAAACACAAGGACTGCTTCAAACTTTGCTTCTTCAATTTATTTGCAAGTAATTATGATTCCTCTGAGACGCCTTCAAAATTAATGTTGTAAAGTTATTACACCAACAGAGTGTGCGTGTGTGTATGTGAGAGAGAGAGAGAGAGAAGAGAGAGAGAGAGAGGTGATTTAGTTGTGTTAATCACAACTGAAAACAGCGAATTAGAGGTACAACTTTAGAGTATAAAGCAAACAGAAGATTGTTTATCTATATAAACCCAGTCTTGCCAGAATGTATAGAGAGGTTTTGTATACATAATTATATAAATATATATATAATTATGTATAATCCGATAAATTATCGAATATAATATAAAACAAAATATAAAAAAAATGCTTGAATTAAGAAAATATTAGAAGAGTGATAATCTTATCCTGAACGATAAAACAGAATTTTGGGGTTGTGGAAATTGAATGCGACTTCTCAAAGGACAACACCATATTATTATTTTTAATTGGTCAAACAAAAATTCTCATGTCGAAATTAATATTGGAAAATTAGATGCACGTATGTTTGACAGTCTACATCTCAACCACCCAATTATGTACATCTCAATTAATGCAATTTCAACTTTCTACTATTTATTTACCTTCAAATGTTTTTTTTCTTCTTTTGGTTTATTATGCTGCATCCAATATATTATTATTTATTCAAAAAAAGAAAAGAAAAACATTAATTAGATTATCATCACTCATCATCATCATCTATGTAGCACGAAATTTCAACTTTCGAACGTATTTGCGTATCGGGCAAGTTTGTGTCTGACACTCGAGGGCTGCCGAACATATTATGGGTCATTTTGCAATTTCTGACAAGTTAGAAACATTTTTTAACAACAAATTTTCAAATACTTTTGTTGATTCCCTAATTATTTACTAATTACATGATATATTGATCAATTGTCGAATGATAGTTGATACCTAAAAAAATCTTTATATATATATATATATATACTCTTATACTTTTAATATTTACACATTTCTCTCTAGTTTTCTCTCTAGTTCTCGTATCCTCATTTTTTTGACATGCCGTTTCCATGTGTCCATTTCCCCATTTCCGTGTCCATACTACAAAGTTCATCACTGATTCAATAATGTGAGCAGTAAGACCATGCTGCACATTTTTGTTTGCTGTCATATGATTTATTTAAGGTAAAAATAAAAATGTGACGAGTAGAGTGATAAGAACAGTTTGTTTTTTTGTTTAACACTGTTGATAAAATTGTCCTAATTTGTTTTAGTGGGGGGCACAACTAATTTATGGAAAAGCCCTCAAATGCTCGGTTGGTTTTTTCGTTGAATTTGAACTAGTCATTTCAGTTTTATCACAAGAAAAAAAAAACAAAAAAATCCTAGTCATTTCCATTGTTACAAGGTGTGGTATATGTTAGTCCTGTCCACATAACTAGAAAATTAAATTAAATTAAATTAAATTTTGATGCACTGTCGGTGGAATATGTCTCTACTCCTTTTTTTTTTATTTTTTTTAATAGAGCAATGCATTTTGCATCTTGCTTATGAATGAATTTTTAAAATAATATATATATATACACACACACGCATGGAGCATTCCATCGAATAGATAAAGGCCTCCTTTGGTTATAAAAAAAAAAAAACAAAAACCCTCAAATTACGATATGCACAAACTACGAAAAATTGTCTCATGTTTGGGTGAATACAACTACATTATGACCACACCCTTTAACTATATATTGTCTTACACATCCACCCTTACTGTGTCAAATTTACTTATTGAATTAAGGGTTTTTTCGTAAGACAATACATAGTTGAGAGGGAAGTTGTAATTAACCAAACATGATGGGATTTTTCGTAATTTAGACTTACCTCCACGGAGTGACAGTAATTTGCCCAAAAAACATTTAACAAAATAAGATTGGACTAATATCAAATATAACATAATCATGTAATTAGAGATAGATTATCTTAACAACCAACCAAATAAGACCTAAACCAATAAATTAGTTGTAAGAGTGTCTTAAAATCTGCCTATGTTAGGTAGAAACATGATGTTCATTTGGTAGGAAATATGTGAAAGTGGAGGCAATCATCTTATTTCAAATTTCTATTGTCAACACATTAGTATTATATACCAAATTGATTCCTAGGTTAATACAAACAAATGTGAATGGTCTTTTTGTTTATTACACATGTTGTAAGTCAACGATTCTGCAATTAGCAATAACACGTGCCTTTGCAAGCAATTAATACACTAGCAAACCTAAATGTGTCACACTTCTTCCATCCAAAAATTGAGAACCTAACTACCCAAGTGTCCAAAAATCGCATAATCTGACTTCAATCCGGGCATAAATTACGAAACAAGAATGAAAAATATACGCAACAGTTCTAAATATTCAGCCAGCATGATTTAGATTCAACAAAATTGCCTTGAACGACATTGTAAACGAAGAAGATCCATAATTTTACATTTATCATGCAGATGGAAAGCAGATAATTCAAATATTTTAAGAGTCGAAGTAGGAAGTAAAAGGGAGTTACTTTCGTTTTGAAGCTCTTCGCTTTTCAAGTTTCCTTTGAGCAGCTTCGAATTCTTCTTCACTTGGCTCTGGAGCTACTTCAGACCCACCGTATTTTTGAACTAGAGTAGAGAACATCGAATCAATCTTGCCCTTCCTCTCGGTTTGCCGTTGAGCTATTATTGCATACAAATCTTCCGAGTTTTTCTTCGATCTGCAAGACGTATTTCACAACCGTTTTATTATTCTGGGACTCGAGTCAAAAGTCAAAACTAGAAAATTTAGTCAATATTCCTGGGGAAAAAAGAAACATGACTTACTTCTTTCTGCGTCTCAATGGACTTGTAGGAGGTTTTGTTTTCGATACTTTCTTGGCCCATTTCTCATACGCTTTGGTTGACTTCAAATCTCCTACAATCAAAGTCAAAGATAAGCGAGGAAGCACACAAACTAAGCAAGAAAAGACAAAAACGGAGCTAACCTGCAGAAATAGCCTCATCAATGATATCCTTGTAGCGGTGTGAATCTAGCATAGGATCGGAGCAAAGCATGCAGCAGAAAAACCTGAAAATAAATGCAAATAGATAATGAATTGGTTTGTGCAAATAGTAGCCGCAAAACACACGATTGAGTATTGAGATATACTTTCCCATATCGCCCTTCAATTTTTTATACAGCTCGAGCAAATCTTTTTTCTCTGAATCAGAGCCTCTGTAGTTTGCTTCAAACTCTTCAATATCAACCTCCGTGACCTGCAAGTGAGTTCCAAGTACTTCATATGAAGAGTGAAGTACAAATCTACTAGTGATAGAGAGGGCTGCCAAATATACAGTAAAATAACCTTTTTAAACATGGCTCGGAAAAATGTCCGCAAGTTCTGGATGACATCTCCTGCTAGATCCTGTTCATCGGTGAAGAAAAATGAGTATTGAGATGTTGCTGGGAATATTCATTTTATAGCATTTTAAAAAACAATGATATTAACTCTTTTCTTAGCTGAGCATGCACAAAAGAAAATCGAGTATAACAATTCTAACCAGTCCAAACTAACAGAAGTTGTATGGTCCAAATCTTTTAGAAATAAAAAAGTTTTTCATTCTCTACAGTCTCTACAGATGCTGGACGGAGTTTTCATGTTGTTTATGAATATCAATTTGTCCTCAAATAGGAGTAAGCAAAAGCCAAACGGCAAGCAACTCGTATCCAATTTCTTCACCAGAATCACTCAACTATATGAAGATAGATTTTAAAACTTGAAATGTCACACAAAACATAGTAGTACATGTATAAAATTCATTTCTTTCCTAAGACCTCACTAATTTATGCAGGAAATATCACTACATCAAAAGTTTAAATTACAGTAGCAACAGGAGGGAGGGATAATGCTTACAGCATCATCAACACAACCAGTCTGGTCATATACTGCACGTTTCTCCTCGTCACCAAGAATTGATATAACCTGTTGTAACTGCTGAAATTTCTCCTTGGCCTCCTATATAGAGAAAATAAATGGTCAAAGTATTGTAGAAAACTATAATGCTTGTAGTACGAGAACCAAAAATGCAATATGCTTGAATTACATGATTACCTCATCATCAGGATTCTTATCTGGATGCAGGCGCAGAGCCAACTTGTGATAAGCTTTCTTTATTTCTTGCTGAGTTGCAGCTTTGTCTACGCCAAGAATCTAAAAACCACAAGCACAGTAAGTCACTATTTGCGGATCGTACCATATACAAAATGAATCTCAAATTCACATGAGAATTTCAGCTTCGACACGAGAAAGCACATATATTGTCTTTGGTACTCCGTACACAGTTATGAATCACTCAGATTTGATCAGTGTTGACATTGTAATGATAGAATGTGAGCATGAACTACCCCTGTGAGTTTTTAATCATGCATTGGTAGTGTTTCTCTGGATTTTTTAAATGTATGACAAATAAACGAGTCTGCATGAACATTGTTAACAAACTCCATTGGGACACTGATTCAGGAACAAACTCAAAGGGCAGTGATGCGTATATCAAGAATGCCGGACTCCATAAAAGAATTGACACTTTTATTGTTGGTTATTTAGAAGACCTTTTTATTCCGAATTTGCCTATACTTACAATATGTCTAATTCCTATGGTGAACATCTTCTCCCAAATCCCAGCTAGAATACTGATATCAATCTTCGTAATGTGAGTACAGTGTCTTTGAAGGTTCAAAGTTTTACATACTTGTCGAGAAAAGTCGCATTAGATTAAAACATGTATTCATGTCTAGCAGTGATTTCCACTGTATATTTAGTTCACATCATGTTCTAATCCGCGTCAACTAATTCACTAATCATCTGAGACTCAAACTCCTAAAAATCTTCATATGTCAGTAGAATATTCTGATATCGAAATTTCCACAGACAAAACCTAGGGCAAAATAGAGAAAAATGGAAACCTCGAAGCAATTTCTCAGAACCTACCGCATATGTGAAATTGAACTCTGAAAAAAAGAGTAATTTATACCTCGTACAAGCTTTTCTCATTTGAGGAAGAAGATCCGTTGAGATATTCCCGATCCTCCTCCTCTTCCATTTCTTCGTCTTCTTCCTCAATGTGCTCCTCCGAAACCCTAGATTTGCGTCTCTTCCCCATTTTTTTTTTTTTGGTAAAACCCTAACCCTGAGAGAGATGTAGATTTTTTAATTGATGCGAGCGGAAAATGAATGAACGAATTGGAGATAGATGAATTGAATGAGATGACGTATTTATAAACGCGAATTGGGGGTGATTCTTTCCCGCCACATCGCGCCTAATTTTTGCGTGTCCCTCTATTGAAGATTTGGAAAAAAAAAGGAGAATGCTTTAACATATTAAATAAAAGAGTAAATAGCACTTAACCCCCTGTGGTTATGAGATTTTGCAGATGAACCCCTTATACTTTTTATATCAGCACATAACCCCCTTGTGGTTGATGGGCTGGCTTCCGTTAATTTTTCCATCAAACTTTAACCCATTTGTCAAATTTCAACAAAAATGAAAGAAAAAATTAAATCACAATAGGATTATCTACAAAAAATTACACTGACCGTTGAATTTGACGGAAAAACTAACGAAAGTCACCTCCATCAACCACGAGGGTGTTATGTGCTAATATATAAAACATAAGGTAGTCATCTGCAAAAGTTTGTAATAACAGAGAGTTAAGTGCTATTATCCCTAAATAAAATCATATAAGCTAAAATATTTTCTCAGTTTACATTATTATTATATGATTTATATTTATTTTATTTAACTTTAACATGTTGTAGCGTAATAATATAAAATTATATAATCGATTTTTGTAATAAAATATATAGAGTAGGATAAATCGCTAGTTGGTTGTTTCAGATATTTAGTGATGCGTTATTAGTTGCATTTTTATTCAATTACGTCCTTATTAGGCCATCTTCAATAGTTGTTTAAAAATCGGTTGTCTATATCTATAATTTAAGAGACGAACAGTGTTATGCAACACCACTTTTAACATCACACTCCAACAACATTATTTATATTTTACACAATTATCATATTTTATTATTTTACAAAAAAAATAGTTTTGAATTAATTTTAACAATTATAATTTTAATTTCAAATACATACATATATTTTATTTTAGGTTTTTACTCAGAAACTTGTTTGGAATTAAAATATATTGCAAAGGATAATTTAATGTTGGGTAAATTACAAACACCTCCCTGAGGTATGGTCAAATTACATAAACACTCCTCTTGTTTGAATAATTACAACCACCCCCCTCAACTCATCAAATTTAGTGGAATCTTCGAGATTATATGGAATATTATCACTTTTGTACCCGTTTTATCCCATTCAAACTCTACATTATGAAGCAAGATGATCATAATATGTGATTTTTAGCTTGTATATATCAGTTTGTGGTGCATCGGAAACTGTATTTTTTACACAAAAAGCATACAAACTAGATCACATTTCACAGAATCTAGATGACTATGTTGAATTTGGCACCATAGAGGTGGAGGTCTAAGAAAAAAACATAGTTGAGGGGGTAGATGTAATTATCCAAACAAGAGGGGGATTTTTGTAATTTGACCATACCTCAGGGGGGTGTTTGTAATTTACCCTTTAATGTTATATATACATATATTAAAAAAAAAACGAAACACTCTTTATTTTATAAATAAAAATCATACATGGAAACATATATGTGAATAATAGCAAAATAATTATTATATTTAATGTATAAAAAATAGCACTCATGGAATTTTTATTATTGTTTATTCTTACACAATTTGTCAAATTGTGGTTTTGGTTTCTCAAATTTAGATATGCAAAGTTAAAATGTAAAAAATTTTGCCTTTTCCCATTTTGTTGTTGGAGTTATAACTTTTGGTTTAAATATGTAAAAGATGTAAATTATAGACATACGTCATGTTGTTGGAGATGCTCTTACTCTCAACCAATTGAGATAAAACAAGTAGAAATATTAGAGAGTTAGTGCGAAAAGTAATCTTATAGTAATATTTTCAATAAGTCATGCATAATTTTTCGTTTTTTTTTATTTATTTATTTATTTATTCAATCTTGAGTTGTGATGGACCCATGCCCAAAGACCATACCAACAAGTTCATAGGGCACATAAATCAAATCCAAATCCACTAATTATACAAGTTCAAATTTGCTAAGTCTCAAACTGATATGATCTACGTAGTTAGGCCCAAGTCGGTCCATGTTAAGTGGCTTAAGTTCATGAGAATATATGTCTCTATATAAATACCCAGAAATTTCATAATCAAAGGTACGCAATTCATAACTCTCGAACAGTCTCTTGTATTCTCTGAATTTTTTTATCACAGTGTCAGAGGGCTTTCGTCGAGACCAATCCCCGCACCTTAACATTTTTTTGTAATGCAGGTAGTACCCACAAAAGAGATCAAGAAATGCGATGGAAGAATTGCAAAATATGACGTGAAATCGTACCGGATCAAGTTGGTTCTTACAAAAGTGATGAATTCTTTGGACACCCAAAAAGATTACACACTTTTTTAGGGTTGAGTTTCAATGCCAAGTCCAATACATTGACATTGTTAACTTCATGTGATTTATGTATTGAAAATATCAATTAATATTTCCTTTTAATTGTTCCAAGAAATGATTGGCAATTGTGCTCAAGAATCAAATCGGTCTAATAAAATACTTAAACATTCTATTTGACCATATGGTTAGTAACATTAAACCTCTCGAATAAAGAGTTTAAGTGGTGGATTACAATTCTATATATCTTTTTCCTTCTCCCCAAACATTAAAAATTACATTTTTATATTAAAAGTATTAATGGTGAATTTATACTTTTCAATATAAGGATACAATGGTGAAATTCATCCCCCAATTTTCACCAAATTTTATAAATATAATTAGAAAAAGCAATTGAAAATCGATCCCATTCTATGTCCAATTCAATTTTAAAAATAATGGCCAGGGCCCACGTGGAATAATGATTAAGAAAAATAAATTATTACTAATTAATTAGGAGAAGAATTTTATGTTTGCTTTTTTTTTTTTTTTTCTTTTTTCTATATAATTATGTTGCTAGTATTGTAGCATATGATTGGTTCCAGATGTTGTAGAATTAAAAATAAATAAAAATTGGTAATAATTATTTTGCAAATTACTATGGCAAAAAAAAATGGTAATAATCATTACTAAATGTGTAACTTATTTCAATGTTGTGAAATATATTTTATGATTTAACAATTTAAAATATTGCATTTTGTTGGCATTTTGTGTGACTAATTGATACCATCAAGTCTCGTGTCATCACATCAAACCGAGTCACGGGTCACAATATATAGGAATAATAAATAATTTAAATAAAACTTTTGAAATTTGTTTTTAACTTTCGATTTGAAATAAAAAATAATAATGTACAGTTAAACAACTATAAATTAATATAATTTGAATAAGAGAAATTCTAATAATTAAGCAAATTATTAAATTATCGTGTTAATAATTTAACATATCTTTCTTGAATCGGAATAGAAAAAACTTATTATTTATTGAATTTATTAATTTATCGAGGTTGTACCGTGTATTACTATTATAAATTAGTAAATACTTTTGTTTTCGTACTCATAACTAATAAGTTAGCACTATTCTTTATTTCTTGTCATGTAATCATAGACTTTTTAACTTCTCTCAATTTGCAAAACAGCCCTTCTAAAATAAAGTATTAACACATTCTACCAAACATACAGAGCTTCAAAAAACAACAATTCTAACAACATCCAAAACCTCTCACACTGCTTCTCCAATGGCTGCCACCTTACTGTTTCTCTCAACACTACTCTCAACACTTGTTGCCAGCTCAGCATTTTCCGAACGAGAAACCCTAATCCAGTTCAAGAACTCCATTGTAGACCCAACAAAAGCTCTCTCTGACTGGTCAAACACAACATCAATCCACCATTGTAGCTGGACTGGAGTTTCTTGCACAAACCCTTTTCTTGTTTCTTCAATCAACCTTCAAAGTTTGAATCTTTCTGGTGAAATTTCATCCTCTCTCTGCAATCTTGTTAATCTCACTCATCTTAATCTTGCTGACAATTTCTTTAATCAGCCAATCCCACTTCATCTCTCTGAATGTGTATCTCTGGTCACTTTAAATCTAAGTAATAACCTAATTTGGGGTACATTACCAGATCAAATCTCTCAGTTTAAGAAAATGGAGTTTCTTGATTTTAGCAGGAACCATGTTGAGGGTAAAATCCCAGACAGCATTGGATCATTGCACCACCTTAAAGTTTTGAACTTTGGCAGCAATTTGCTCTCAGGTGAAATTTCACCAGGGGTTTTTGGTAATTTCACTGAGCTTGTGGTTCTTGATTTGTCTCATAACCCATTCTTGGTTAGTGAAATTCCTGCTGATTTTGGCAAACTGAGTAAACTTGAACAACTTTTATTGCAAAGCTCAGGTTTTTATGGTGAAATACCAGGTTTCTTTAATGGTCTGAAGAGTTTGAAAATTTTGGATTTGTCCCAGAATAATCTTACTGGTTCTTTACCTAGGATTGAGTTGTTGTTGTCGTCGTCTCCTCGAAATTTGGTTTCGTTTGATGTTTCACAGAACAAGCTTTCCGGGCCATTTCCTAATGGGGTTTGTGAATCGAAAAGCCTTGTGCATTTGAGTCTGCATACAAATTTCTTTAATGGCTCGATTTCGAATGAATTCATCGTTAAATGCACGAATCTTGAGAAATTCGAAGTTCAGAACAATGGGTTCAGTGGGAAATTCCCTTCTTGGCTTTGGTCATTGCCTAAAATTAAGCTCATCAGAGGCGAAAACAATAGATTTACGGGTGAAATACCCGATTCGATATCGGAAGCTGCTCAATTAGAGCACGTGCAAATCGATAACAATAGTTTCACCACTAAATTTCCATTGGGAGTTGGGAAATTGAGAAGCTTGTATAGATTATCTGCATCATTGAATGGCTTGTACGGTGAGCTTCCTCCGAATTTCTGCGATTCTCCCGTGATGAGTATTATCGATTTCTCGCACAATTTTCTCTCGGGGAATATTCCCGAGATGAAAAATTGTCGAAAGTTAGTATCTTTATCGCTGGCAAATAATAGCTTTGTCGGTGAAATTCCGGAATCTTTGTCCGATTTGCCGGTTTTAACGTATCTCGATCTTTCTTGTAATAATCTCAGTGGGTCAATTCCTCAAGAACTCGAAAATTTGAAGCTTGCTCTATTTAATGTTTCGTTCAATCATCTTTCGGGTAGGGTTCCGTTGTCATTGATTTCCGGTCTACCCGCTTCGTATTTGCAAGGAAATCCTGATTTATGTGGGCCCGGTCTGCCGAATTCTTGTCTGAACGACAGCTCAGCGAGCAAATCTTTTAGCTTCGCTAAATTGACATTTGCCTTAGTTTTCATCGCAATAGCTTTCGCGATTTTTGTCTTTGCCTTTGGGTTTTACATGATACGTTCGTACAAGAAGTCTCGGTTAGGTTTGTGGAGATCGGTTTTCTTTTACCCTCTTAGAGTAACCGAGCAAGAATTGCTTATGTCGATGGATGAAAAATCGGTTAGAGGAAATGGTGGAAATTTTGGGAGAGTTTACGTAGTGAATTTACCGAGTGGCGAATTTGTGGTTGTGAAGAAGATATTGAATTTCTCTTACCAATCTTCGAAAGCACTGAAAAACGAGGTGAAGACGCTAGCCAAAATCCGGCACAAAAACGTTGTGAAAATCATGGGATTTTGTCATTCGGATGATTCGATATTTATGATATACGAATATCTACCGAAGGGAAGCTTAGGAGATTTTCTTGGAAAACCCGACTTCGATTTTTCGTGGAGTTTGAGATTGAAGATAGCTATTGGAATTGCTCGAGGGCTGGCTTATCTTCACAGAGATTACCTTCCACATTTGTTGAATCGAAACTTGAAATCGAACAATATTCTTTTAGATGCCGATTTCGAACCGAAGCTGACTGATTTTGCGTTGGATCGGATTATTGGAGAAAATACATTTCAGTCCATAATTTCATCACAATCTACATCTTCTTGCTATTTGGCACCAGGTACTATAGTAGTTTAAAAAAAAAAAGAAATTGATTTAGTCTCTTTTACTTAATTTTGTTTTTTTTTTTTTCGATCTGACAGAATATGGACACATGAAGAAGGCGACTGAACAAAACGACACGTACAGCTTTGGTGTGGTTCTGTTGGAGCTATTGACGGGTCGAAAAGCAGAGGAAAACAAATCGGGCGGGGCTCCACTCGATGTTGTAAAATGGGTCCGGAGAAAGATTAATATAACCGATGGTGCTTCGAGAGTTCTTGATCCCAAGGTTTCGAGTTTGTTTAGACAACAAATGCTCGATGCACTGGAAATTGCTCTCCGTTGTACTAGTGTTGTACCCGAAAAACGGCCTTCGATGTACGAGGTTGTAAGATCACTCCAGTCTCTAGAAATTATGTAAGAACTTGTTTTTTTTTTTTAAATTTTAATATCATTTACATGAAATTTTCTTTCATGTTTTTGTAACATGTTTAATATAGTCCTATGTATAATATGTTCTTACAAAATCTAAATTCTCAATCTTTAACAATATAATAGATAAATAAAATGAACAATATAATAAATAAAGAAATAAAAACTAGAAATAAATTTATATAAATACTAATTAACCATACTTTAACTGGGCTTCATAAAACCACAAGTTAATACAGTGTTTTGTTTTCCTGCATGAACAACTAAAGTCTATTCCAAGACTAAAACAAATCATTCTACTGCATAATATATAGCTAAAATTAAATTTAAAAAAAAAAAAACAAATCAAGAAACAGCAGCAACTAATTTCTTGATTGAAACTCTTTCATTACAGCAAAGAGTTGTTCCACAACATCATCAATTTCTTGATCTTTCTTTGTCCTAAGATTCTCCTTCATTTCAGCAGCCCTTTTTCTGACAAACTCACCGCCATCTCCAACGACAACCTCGTTGATAACTGCAGCCAGTTTCTCCTTACGAAGCCTATTCTTCTCGTCCCTCACAACTTCAACACCTACACCAACTTCTTCGACAAGCCGAGCATTGATCGGCTGGTCAAGATGCATTGGAACTGCAATAATCGGGACCCCAAAATTCATGCTTTCAAGAACCGAATTCCAACCGCAATGACTCACAAAACCTCCGACACTAGGATGTTCTAGAATCTTCGCCTGCGGGGCCCACCCCTGCAAAACCATACCCCTCTCTCCAACCCTATCGAGAAACCCTCTAGGCAAGGTTTTCTCGAGCAACAACCCGTTAGAAAGCCCATTCGAACCACCTTTCGGAAACCTCACAACCCATATGAAGTTGAGTTTGCTCATTTCTAAACCATAAGCAATCTCATCTAGATCTCCCTTAGTGAGAAAATACTCGCTCCCGAACGAGACAAAAACAGTCGATTTCTCCTCTTTCTTGTCTAGCCACGAGAGAATCTCGTCGCTAATTTCGTCGCCCTTTTCGTCGGGGGTCGGCTCCTGCACCAAGGGGCCCACCGGAACAAATTTTTTTCCGACCAACTCGGTCAAATAGTCAATATACTCACCTTCGATATCCCTAAACCCTTTGATCAGCACAATCTTGAGCGACCTCTCGAAACCCACAACCGCCTTAGTCCTCTCCTCGAGGTTTCTCCCACAAGCCAACAACTTCTCCATCTTATCCGATTCGTAGTCGCGAAAGCGAATCGTTTTCGACGGGAACTCCGTTTCCGGATTCTTGAAGTAGTGGAACATGAAGCAAGTCATGGTGGAGCTACTCGTGATGAATTGGACAGCCGGGATATTTTGCTCGTTCGCAACGAGTGGGGCCCACGGTTGGAGAAAATCGTAAATGAGCAAATCGGGCTTGATATCTGCAAGAATATTGGAGAACTCGTCGACCGACGAGTCGAGGGCTTCCTTGAGTTTTGGCATGAGATGGGGCGGGAGCCCGTTAGTGGTGTGGAGCTTACGTGGAAGGCCCGGTAAAACGGGCAAGAGGAGTGGGACTAGTTTGATGGAGTGGGAGAGTTTCGGAGTAATTTTTTCTTCGATGCAAGTGAGTGTGGCTATGGTGGAGCAAAGGTATATTTTGAAATTTCTGGTGGTGAGTTTCTTGGCTAACTCGAGGTAGGGTGTTATGTGGCCATAACCTAACCATGGGAACATCACAACCTTGATTATTGGGGTTTCGTTTCTAGTAGCTTCCATTATGAAAAACACACACACCAAACACGCACTAACTCTGTATGTATGTATGTATATATATCTCTCTCTGTAGCAAAAGACTGTAAGATTTTTCTTTTGTCTGGTTTTGAGGATGGGTTTGTGAGAGGTTTGCAGTCGGGGGGATGTATTTACGGTGGAGGTGATGATTTGCATGCATGGAAATTTCCATACGTGAAATAATGGAAATAAATCATTTTTTCCATAATTGATCGTTAAATAGGAGATTCTGCTTTCCTTATTCATCAATGCCTTTCCATTAATTCATTTCTTCATTATGTTAATGCTGAAAATAATATATAGATTACGGGAGTTTTTCTTTTTTAATAATTATTTATTACTTATTTTTATAAGTTATTCTGCACGGAATCTTTTTGTGGCCCATTTAATATGGTGAAGCCCAACTTATTAATTCACTTATACAGATTGGACCCTTTGTTTGGGCCCAGTCTTTATTATTATTAATTAATAATAATAAATATAATAAGATAATTATAGTACTAATAATAATAATATAATAAATTCATTAAATTTTGCAAACTATTCTGAGCTGAAAATATGAATGAATCGTGGTAAAATCGTAATAAGATTCACTTGCATTCATATACTAAGATTTACTTGTATTATATCATATCTTGATTTAATATTGGTAGAATGAAGATGGATACAAGTTATTTGTATCCGGTTATTTGGAATTGAATTTATGTTTGGATTTGGAATTTAATTCGAAATCAAAGATACAAATCCGATCCACCACGTCAGCAATCCTAATTTAGTACAACTGAAGCAATGATAGATTAGAGGTACTACACTTTTAAGGCTCACTAGGGTTATTATATGATTAACAATAGTTAATTAAATAAAAAAATAGTTAATTAAAAAATAAAACTTGGGCCAAACTAGTGGCCCACCACTGACCCGTTAAACATAAATATACTGCCAGCGGCCCAGCAGTATTTCTGTAAGCCCGAAAAAATAAATTCTTCATATATAATTATTAGGAAAATTACAGTTTTTCACCCCTCAAGTTTGCACTGATTACAGATTTGGCCCCTCATATTAAAAAAAAAACACATTTGATCCCTCATGTTTCAAAAATTCTACATTTTTTTCCGTTAAAACTAATGGAATCAAGCGTGTGCCCATCAACTACTTAACTGCAAACTAATGGTAAATTGACGGAAATGACAACAAATGCTAGATTATTGAAACATGAAGGACCAAATGTGTATTTTGTGAACACGAGGGACAAAATGAGAAATCGGTGCAAACTTGAGTGATGAATTTTTTTTCGTATGATTATTTATTATTATATATTTTTTTAGAAGAAATTCTTCATAATGTTGCTACAGTGAAATTGCGTTTTCTATATATTTTCAGAGTTTTTCGCTCCATATTTACCTTCTTTTCATAGAAAAAAAACCAAAAAAGAAAAGAAAAAGACAGTTGTTGCTAAGTATTCAGTCTTAAGTGGCTTGCCAGACCTCACGAAGAAGATCATACCTAGCGTTGGCTCCATCGTAACCCGCTTCTTTCCGATCGCCACTTCCAACAGCTGCTGCAGTGGGAGACAATGGCAATTTGTTCAGACAGCCCTCCAATTCATCCAGCTCTTCATCACTAGTGTATCCCTTTCTCTGCACGCATGATGCACTCTTCGAAAGCACAGCATTTGCATCCGCCTCCGCAACTTTTTCTGCCACGTCAGCAGAGGAAGGAGGCGTGTACACAATCGGCGCAGCACTGTAGGGAAAGCTACTGGAGGGGTTCCCCAACACCCTACGCTCTATAATGCACTGTCGATACGTACACGAACAAGGAATCAATGTATCAGTATCTATGCAAATGTTTCGCCACATAACTGCTTTTCGTATCTGTTAACAAGAAGATATAATATACCTCAGCATTTATAGCCTCTAAAACAGCACCTGCAACAGGATCAGGGCAGAACTCATCGGGAGAGAAATTGCACAGCACTCGCTTAACTAACGGAAGACTGATTGACGGGCACACCTATTAAAATTATAAAAAAAAAGAAAAACGACCCCGGGATGAATATGTATCTTTACACTAGAGAAAATACAATTCAATGAAAAATATAATTTTTCAAATTTTTGTACCTCCATTCTGATATTACGGTCCATGAGCATATCTTTGGGAAGCATTAGAAGGTCACTCAATGCATTAAGAAGTGTGAAGCTTTTCGGTTCTTCAGTACCCTCGAGACTTCTATTTTCGTCCTTTGCAGAACTATTAGCATCCGCGCCAAGAAATTCAGACAGCCATCTCGTCCAATTGCCAACCTGAGGGAGCACAATCAGCGTCTTTAGTTTGTAACAATAAAATCCGTTCAGTTGTGCAATCGTTCTAGAACAAGTATGTGTTTGAAGTTAATTTAGAGTAGGACGTTACGGAATTTTTTAGCTGTGCGCCAGACCCAAAACACAAATCTCCAGCAGGAATTGGCAAAACTTTGGAGTCCACAATTGGATCGGATACAGGATCGGTAGGAATCTCGTGCGCCGATTCACGTAGAATAGCATTGAACATGGCAACATCTAGCCTGTCAGTACATTGTTCCATCACCTATAATAAAATACACATATATTTGATCAGACAATACTCTTGCAAATTGCAATTAGCCCACACCGCCAAATAATAAAATATATAAGAAAAGAAGAAGTAGCCTATTAATCACCTTCCTTGCCAAAACAGGCAAGCATCCACATCCGTGCCCTCCCGCTCGAACAGGACAAAGTCTTTTGAGAGCATCGTGAAACGCATTTTTCCAAAGGTTAATGGAGAAGTTTCCTTGTTTATGGTCACCGAGAGCTGGACCAAGTAACCTATCAGCACCTTTGTTTGTAACGGAATCACCATCGGGTGATTGCATATTAGGTGTCAGAGTCTGAACCAAAAGAAATAGTAGTTCAAAACACGGTTTATACCGAGCACAATTCATATTATTACCATAGAAACATATAGAGCATAAAGTAATCAAATCACCTGCCACCATATAGACTCGACTATCCGTGAGAATATCCAAGACTCCACTTTCTCCAAGGCAGAAGTGAAAGTTCTCGTTTCTTGCCAGTCATCAATAAATTGCAAGAATCCCTGCTTATTCAGTTGTTTACTTGCACTACTATTCCTTCGTTTAGGTGGTGAAGACTTCTTTTCACTTCCATAGGACTCGAATACTTTTGCGGAGTTACAGGAACTCCCAAATGCTTGAGATAAAATCTCCCTCAGAACAACAATGTTTGACAACCAAAAAGTCAACCTAACAAAAAAGGAAACAGATTAGATTTAGGAATTTTCATCTAAATTAAATTATTAAAACTCTTACATACTAGATGAATCTGCAATTAATTACTAACCTGGAAACGTCATTACCACAGGACTTGGAAACTAAAACAATACCAGAAACGGTGTTTCTAGCAACAGTAGCTCGCTTGTCTTGCAACCAGTATTTGCATGCATGAATGTAGAGTCTCGAAAGGCGCCTCGCAGGTGTATGTACCTTGTGTGCAGAGCTTCCATGCTCGGGTACCACAGAATAAAGTGCAATTTCAAGAGCTGCAACTTCTCTTAGTTCACTTTCAAGACTCTTAATCCTCGTTTCCATTTCCTCAATCCTTCGATCTAATGCAGCCTGCTCTTCCTTCTTGTCATTTTCCTCCGTATTAACCGCCTCGTCGTCACTACACACACTATGAGTAGCATTCGGAACCTCATCCAGTAAATCCACCCCTTCCGAAGAATCAGACAGAGGCTTTGGATGGACTTTCATGTTTTTCAAATTATCGGATGAACTCCTGGCATTTGAATTGGAAAGAGTTTTTTCAGGTTGAGCCACTTTCGTTGGTGTTTCTTTAGATGCTGTTGTCTGTAGATTCTCTGTTATGACAACCTTTTTGGGAGCCGTGATAACTTTTTCTGCTTTCTCCTCTTCAGCATTCGTTTGTGAGTCCCCTTGAGAAGAAACTGAATCAATACTAGTCTCGACATCAGATTCATCCACGACCTCCATATCACTTGAATTATTATCATTCACTTTTAGTGTTTTGGTGTTATGCAATGTTTCATCAGACCTATTGGCATCTTCATTAACTTCCGAGAGCTGTGTGCCATTTTTTAAACTACTTACTAACGTGCCGTTGTTCTGTTCATTGGAAGAAGGTTTGACATCCATATCTTTTGCTTTCAAGTTTCTGCCACCTTTCTTTTCTTGCACTTTACGATCCTTAGTATCAGATCTCGCAGAACGACTTTTCTCTTTGTTAATTGGACCCCTTTTCTTGTCAGTCTCCTTCATGCTCAATAATTTTTCCCCTCTGTCACTGAATAACAACGAACAGCCAATCAAGAAAACAAAATATTTATTTATGTTTCACTATACAAAATTGACATCACTCAATTTAACCGCAGTTCATTTTTTCTGCTGTCGACTATTCTATCAATTCAACATAGAGTTCAATTCAAGAGGCAAACACCATGGATGCTTCTGCAAGTGTTTGTAAATTAAACTTCAAACTCAATATTATAGCGATGCAGCAAAACAGAATTCTATTATGAACAGGAATTTCAGACAGATCTCGTGGGTTAAAACCATAGATTAGAAACGGAAACGGAAAAGGAAAGAGAAACGCATAAATACACAAATCTATGAACACAATTCAAACTAATTAAAGGAATGGGAAATAGATAACAGCCATAATTACAACATAATAAGAATTAAAATAAAAACTATCATAATGGCTGATCTCTGCCACGATAGAGAACCACAATGCAACAAATTAACGGATAAAAACGACGAGGAGATACAAGAAAACCTGATTGTTTTTTTTTTCTCAATCAATTCAGTTCAGCAAATGCACATAAAACTTCGTCCCTGAATATAGCAGAAAAATTACTGAAAAATAAGAAGCAGAATTTCATCAAAACTGCATCGGAAATCAGCGTTCGGATAAGAAACAGTACACCGCAAACTAAGGCGCGCAAATTAGTGATGAATGTAGACGGTTACATAAGCAGTGATGGCAACCGTCACACCAAAAACGCACGATTTCCGAATATAAATCCAACCGACACAGCCAAAAAAAAAAAAATACTCCAAATATAATAATTTCAAAAAATAAAAATCACAATTTAGAAACTAAAAATGAAAAAAATAAATAAATTCCAAAAACGACAAGATCTAAGTATGGAGAACAAAAAAGTGCATCGGTAGTTGCGAAAGCGATTTTGTTTCAGCCACAAAAAAAAAAAATTCAAAAAAAAGTAGTGGAAAGGTGAATTCGAGAATTTTACCCAAGCTTTTCCGAAGTGCAGCATCGAAGTTGAAGAAGCTTCTGCCAAAATCAAAAATCCAAATCCTCTTTCTCTCTCTCTAAAAGCAGCTCAGAACGAGTAGTAGCTTCTCCTGTGTGTATAAACATGTATGTGAATATACATAGACACATATACGTACAGTGATGAGTGTATCTAATGGTGGTGGTGGGGGTGGGGTGGGGTGTTTGTTACTGCTGGCGCTCTGGGTGCAATTATGGAATGTGGTGGTGGTAGAAGAGTGCGGGAGAGAGATCCATTTTAAAAATCAATTTTTCTTTTTTTAATATATATTTCCTTTTGTTTTATTTAAATTTTAATTTAATGTTTCTCTGCATAAATAAACGGAGCGGATTTGACCGGGTGCAGGGTGTCGGTGAGGGATAATGACCGGGAGATCCCGGTTCCGTTACGCGTCGATTAATTTATTTTGTAAATGGCAAAAATACAGTTTTTGTCCCTCGAGTTTGCACTGTTTTTACATTTGACCACTCATGTTCATAAAAAATACATTTAGTCCCTTATATTTCAAAAATTCGACACTTTAGTCATTTTAGTCAATTTTCCGTTAGAAATAACAGAATCAAGCGTGTGTTGCCATCACTGATGGTAAATTGACGTAAATGACCGAAAGTGTTAAATTACTGATACATGAGGGACCAAATGTGTTTTTTGTTACAGATGGACTAAATGTGAAATCGGTGCGAATTTGAGGGATGAAAACTGTAAATTGTAAATTCTTTTTAGAATTTTGTAATTAATCAGTAATATATAAAAGAAATCAAACGAAAAATTATATTCCTTGATTATTTATTTTTTTGTGAGTATAATTTTAATATGAAAAAAAAAATGAATTGATTAATAAATAAATAAAGACCAATAAAATTTAATAAAAGAGAATAAAAATGAAAAAGACATCACAAGAAAGAGGAAGGCTAGTGGGAAGTCAAACAATGTAAGTGTCACCCACCTGTGACCCAATCGATTCCCACCGTCACCGTCACCGACAGCGACGTTTTCGCTACTCCACAGTCTAAATCGAAGCTGGCAGCAGCTTGCTTATGTAGGTTTTGCTAATAATTAGATGTATTGTAGGCCCTTTTAATTTCTTTTTATTCATATTTTTCTCATGCAAAAATCCAACAACTACTATTGAATTTTATTTCCTTTGTTAAAGGCCGTACGTCCACAATAATTTATTTTGCCTATTCTTTTTTTATTTATTGAAAAGACCATTCAATTTGTATCATCCAATCTTTTTGTTTGGACACTAAGCAAAAAAATGAAAAAAAAAAAATAGGTAGTTGATTGAAGTTAAAGGACTAAATTGACCTCTTTAGTCATGAAAGTTAATGTTGAATAACGTTTAAATGGGAAGGACAAATCGGTTCACTGGGTAAGTTTTTTCTTCCTCTTAAAAAAGAAGGATAGTTACGGGTTATCTGAATTTCTCAACTGGCATCTCGAACTTATGACTAAATATAGGTGTAAAATACTTCCCAACGGGCTACCTTATCTTGACTGTCCGCTGAGTAAGTTAGATGGTACGCGATCCGATTTAATACACAAGTGGTGGGAGAAATAGCTAAAAATCCGAAGATGTTATTGATCTATAACCCACAAAGTGGGGCCAATCACGAGCTTTGGATAAATCACATTCTTTTTTTTTTTTGTTAAAAATAGAGATAGATTTATTCTAGTGCCATAAAAAGAAAAATAATAATAATAATAATAATAATAATAATAAATTAAAAATTGGTGCAAATGGATGTGTTTGACAAATGCATGAAATTTGAGATGTGTCTATATTTTTTTAACGTTGGTTTAAATTTGAAAATTCTCTGCCTTTTGACTCATCTACCAAAATAACAAAGTCCATCTATTGAAATAACTAGGTAGGATCCACTTACAAAGAATCCAATGCCAAGGCCATTTATATGTATAATACATGTATATAATATGGGCAATTACGGCCACCGGGTAAGATTAAATTATGAAAAAACCCCTTTTTATTTGGATTATTACAACCGCTATCCCCAATTATGCATTTTTTTTAAAAACCACACATTTAGTAGGTAAGTTTGACGTCGTAAGGATAGAAGTGCAAGACAATACAGAGTTGATGTATGGTTATAATTACTCAAATGTGATGGATTTTCGCAATTTGGTCTTACCTTAGGGGATTGGCTGTAATTTGACATATATATAATTTGTTATTATTAGTATGACCCATGAAAAGTAATAACCAAATAAAAGAAAGTGAGAAGGAATCAACTAGGCACAGCACACTCGACCCCGCAATAAAATCAAAGGGATTTTTCTTGTCTGAATGTTCAATAATGCTATTATTTCAAGTACTTGAGCATACCGTAGAAGAATATCATCAATGAATGTATAATTAATTATTATTATTATTATTATTATTGCATTAAAAGAATGCAAACATGCAATAATTCTTCCCTACTTCAATTGTAGAGGAAGCTTCTGCATGTTGGCCTTTGTACATGATCCTAGGAACATGCCAATTCATTATTCTGACAACTATATAGTAATCTTCATAATCTCTCTCTCTCTCTCTCTGAAACACACACACAAACACACAGACACGAACTCGGATCAGTTACATACTATATGCTCGGAGAAACGTGTCTGCGTTTTTGTGCATAAACGAAAATACATACTATAACATGTGTACTTTAACTAATGTAGTAGAACACCAAATGTAGCATTTGATTTCAAATGCCGTTAGAGTTTCATGGTTCGATAAAAAACGGAGAAATGTTCAATTGAATGATCCAGAGCCTCAAAAATCCAAACTACACCTTTCTAAACCTAATGTTAAGTAATTGCTAACTACATCTGTTTGAATTTAGATAGTGCGTTAGAACTTCTAATTTTCACTGGATATTGACACGAAAACGATAAATATCCAGACTATGATACTCGATATTCAGAACCTTTCGAGGTGTTAGACACAACACTAAATAGGAAAAGATCCGACGGGTGGCTTCAAATCTATTCTATGCTAACTTTGGTGAAGTTCATCGGGTAATATATCCTACTGTACACGTGTATATATTCATACATGTTTTACACACATCCACATGTATGTATGTGTGTAGATTAATTGTAATATGTTGATTGAAGATCGACAAAAGCATCAGCAGAACTCTACGCCCTTTGAAATCTACAACTGCTACAATGTAGTCTTGTTATTTAAAAGGATGAGGAGCAACAGCGTATACAAGGTTAAAGTTGTCAATTCATACCTCAATTTCCTTAAAAGACATCAGCCAAATTTGAATTGAACTCAAACTTTACTCTTCTCCCCGAAAATGCTACGCACTACAAACAGTCAAGATATATCTTCAAAACCCTCTTACGAGTGTTATAACTGTAGGATCTAGTCTATTATTCTAAGTTGACGAGCAATAAGTAACCAGTTTACATTATCGATTATTCTCTCCAAATGCAGTGAAATTAAGGCTATCGGTAATCTTGGAATGCCAAAAGATGGATATCCAAGGAAATGAGTTCTGAATGACGAACGTAAAGAACCTTAAAGATAAACATCACGACTATGTTTACGGAGTTTCTAGATTCATGATATGATGGACCGACAGTCTTATGTTCACATTCACATTGAAGACCAAAACTCAGAAAAAGGTCGGTCTACAAATATCTACGACTGTAAATAACCGGTTGACCAAGGATGTTGCTCCATACAACGTTCAAATAAAAAAACCATATCGCCTACTTAACGATAGATGGTTCCATTGGTGTTACACTATTATCGAGAAAATGAAAAATCTATGAAATGATAATCTAGATAAACCTCTCCAACTATTCATGAAGACACTTTCTACTTTTTCTTATACTGGTTTCTTTCACAATCAGTAGTTCCCCAGCTGGAACTAACATTTACGAGCTAATACAATGATACTGAATCAATGAAAATGATCGATAATTATCAACGGTAGCACATTGCAACAGCGAAAAAAAATATATACATGCAAAATTACACCATTGCTTTGCCTTTAGTGCGCCTTTACTCAGCATTTGTCTATCATAGAGCAGTTCGTAGCGATCTCATATCAGCAATTAGCATCTATATAGTGACCCGACAATCAAGATAGTCGACAAAAGAGGTCTCAAATCCTAAACGAAAACCTACACGTTATAGCATATGCGAAGTCTGAGAACCAATTTTTCTCGTCGGAAATAGAATATAAAGGAACCCTATCATCAGAAAATGCAATCTAACAGAAGGGAAATATAAAATACAATAAACCATGCATTGTAGAAGAATCGTTTAAACCCTGAAACTCGAAACTTACGAAATCACAAAAACTTAATCCAACTGAAAAGCAAATGCAATGCATTCATCCAATGCACACAAAATGTAACATTATTTCGAACCAATGTAACCCCAAGTAACTCAAACACTCTGAAAACCACAGTATATTAATAGCATTCGATGCAAAATTTGTCTAAATTAAAAAAACACGAAAAACAAAGTCAGCCAATTACATTTATTTCTTCAAAACTAGATAAGATAACCCAAGACGATTCATCCGCTTCGTTTCTAGCGTGAAGATACAATAATGAGCCGGGAAAAAAAAAACAAAAAACACCATACCCCAGTAAATGGCAGATATCTTCTTCAATCGGAATCAACGGCGGGCTGTGCGGCCTCCAATTCGAGCCGTTCGAGGGCTTTCTGGTGGGCCCAGGTCTCAATCGTGAGATCGGGCTTCGCGCTCAGACCAACTCCGAGGATGACAATAGTAAGGAAGCTGGTGATGTAGCAGGGGAGCTCCCAATCCTCCCATTTACGCGACTCTCCCGGCGGCGGCGGCGTACGGCTGAAGGGCAGACCTTTGGGGTGATCCTCGTGACCTGGACTTGTCCACCGGCTAGGACCGTGTCCGCCGCCTCCACGTGTACGAAGGGATGGGCTGAGGCGAGACCGGAGAGTGTTCGCGGCGGCCGCGAATGGCTTAAACGACGGCATTTTTGGGTTGGAGAGAGTGAATCAGAAGTGATTGGGGGCGTATTTGATTTTTGGGGTTTCGCTTCTGAATCGGAGTTTGGGAGGGGTAATACGACGTCGTTGTGAGAGTTGAGTATTTGATTTTTGGTCCTTATGGTTTCAGGTAATGCAAATTAGTCCCCATGCATTTTGCACAAACAGCATTCGTGCCCCTTAATTTTTTTTATTTGCTATTCTAATCATACTATCACAAACAAATTCTCGCATGTATAACTTTTTCAGATTAATCTATGACGAAAAATCAAACCAAACTAATCGAGTACTCGGGTTTAAGATGTTCGTCAAAATCTCAACTTGTTACTCTATCGAACCAAACTTGAACGCATATTTATGTTCAATAAGCAATATCATGAAGCTTTGCCTCGAGTTCGCTAGCTGGTTGAATCAACAATCGATTCGCTAATCAAACCATTGTCACTTACCCTAATTGAACATTTTTTTTTATCATTATTTATTGTAGTGTTCTCTCATTACAATATATACATAATAAGTATTTTCATCAAATCGAGGTTTACTATCTCTTAAAGACTAATGAAAAAATCGAACAAATGTCGTATTTCACGTAACTTTTACAACAATTAGCAAGTGCCTGAAAAAAAACGCTCCTTGCTTTTAGCAACTCAAACAGAAACGTAACTTATAATAAGTTGGAGTGAAAAATCGAGACGTTCTTAAAAATACTCAACATCTTTGTTTTCTCCTCTGTATAATCCAGAATAGAAATGGAGCAAAGAAACATTATTAACAGTTGAAGGCCGAAAATCGAGAGGAATATTCCACAATCCCGTTTTCTCTTTGGACCATCTCATATTCACATTTTCGAAAACCAATCCATCAATATGCTCCATTACAAACCCTGCAGTGGTACTATGATTGACCAGACCTTGACAACCTGGTCTGTAGTCAACAAGCCCATCGGTGTAGTTTGTCCATCTTTTGTAAGTTAAGTTCACGTTAACAAACTTTAAATCGCTAAGGATTCCACCTTTTGAACCGGATAAGAAAACGCCGTTTTCGGAAACTGATGTGATGTTTATGAATTGGAGATTGGAGATGGACCCCGCTTTCGAATTGCTGTCGCGTGGGCATGTTGTGACGTAAATCGGCTCTGCTCTGCCCCACCATGATGGATCGTAGTATCTAGTTGTGATGTTAATGTTCGAAAAGGTGATGTCACTAACATTTCCTGCACATGTAACGAAAACATATTTCAAAACTCAAGATCACATGCAATGAAATTCTTAAAGTTCACTAAGGCTCTGTTTGGATCAGGGAAAATATTAAGTAAAAAAACGAGATAAAATTAGATTTCTTACGAAAATATTTTGGGACTTAACCACGGAAAATGCCTTTTCATAAACCGATGATAAAAGAATCAAGAATGTGAAGGGAGATTTAGTGTATGTATGTATATACCTCCATCTCGAATTTGTAATCCGAGGCCTCTATGAGATTCTACGATGGTTATATTATCGAAAATCAAATGTTTGAAAGCATACGAGCTAGCACTCCCGAGCTTGATGGCCGACGACTTTGTTTTAATCCAGCAATCGGTGGCAGTTAGATTGTAGATGGGACCCGTGTACGTTTTCGGACATATAGCATCATCGCCCGTGTCTATAACGCATCTTGTTATGAGTGTATTGTTTGAATCTTCGATATCTATGCCATCGTTGTTAGGAGAATTGAAATCCCCGTAGATTGAAACGTCGTGAATCGACGTGTTTTGACAACGAACTACGTGCAAGCTGCAATAATGTAATTGTAAAATCAAAAGAGAATCTAAAGAACACAAGTGAATAAATTCAAATTCAAATTCAAATTTATCGTAAATAAATTCATCTAAACCAACAAGTTGCCATAGATTTTTATCATTGATTTAAATATAAGAGGAAATGAATAATCAGGAAAATTAGTGATGCACAACGTACCACCAGTAAGCAGGTTCGTTGAAGCTGACATCCCAAACCCTAACGTTCCTGCACCCAATAAACCCCACCAGTCGCGGCCTGCACTCGTCTCCCAAACACGCGCCGGTCTCGTTCCAGCTCACCATCACGTTCTTCCTCTCGTCGAATCTCTTCACGAACTCCAAACCCTGGCCGTTGATCTCCCCGCCGCCGGTGATCCCCACATCCGCCGCATCCTCCGCCACCACCACGTACCATCTGTCCTGCTTCTCCGGGTAGTCTTCCAGCCTGGTGCCGCCGAGGACGGTGGCGTTCTCCGAAATGTTCAGCGTGACGCCGGTTTTTAGGTATAGAGTGGCGGTTAGGTATTTGCCGGGGGGGAATTTGACCAGGCAGCGACGGCGGTGGAGGAAAAAGGCGGAGGAGCAGTCGTCTATGGCGGATTGGATCGAAACGGTGTCGTATTGGAGGCCGGTGCCCGTGGCGCCGTAGTCCTTGACGGAAAGGGAGAGGTGGGGATAGGAATGGATGATGGGGATTCGTGACGTGGCGTAATGTGATTGGAGAAGAGTTGTCGCTAGAAGAAGAAGGGATTGGATGTTTAAAAGTGCAGATTTCATGGCTACTCTGTTTCGTTTTGGAAAAAGCTTCAAATCTAACCGCAAGTTATGATAAATTATTGGTCATTTACAGCCCCTGAAATAAGATTAAATTACGAAAAATCCCCTTATGTTTGGGTAATTATAATTTTACCCATTAACTATGAACCTTTTTGCACGTCTACCCTTGCAGTGTCAAATTAAGCGGAATCTTCTAGATTATGTGGAATATTCTCCAGTTTGTACCCGTTTTTATCTCATTTGAGCTCTACATTTTGAAACAAAATGATCATAAGACGTGTCTTTAAACTTGTAAATATCAAATTACGGTACATCAGAAACTGTATTTTTGCACAAAATAAGTGCAAACTAGAGAAAAGTTCATGGAATCTATAAGATTATGTTGAATTTGGCACCATAAAAGTGGATGTGTAACAATGTAAGAAAATTCATAATTGAGGGGTAGTTGTAATTATCCGAACATGAGGGTTGTTTCATAATATGACCTTAGCTTAGGGGGTGGGCCATAATTAATCCTTTTCATACATGCAATCTTATCTATTGTGTGTGTTTTTTAAGAAAGAATCAAGTGGATTGATAAGAAAAGTTCTTGGACTTGATATATATTATAAAAATAATATAATAAAGGCTATGATGTATTACATTAAAAGAATAAATTAGAAAAAAGAACATTTTCACAACCTCATATAATTAAATAACTTGTGATAAATTTATAATGGATTTATAATAGCTCACTGCAATAGCATACATGGAGATCCAAGCTCAAACGATGCTTAAAAATAACCTCTTAATTCCCCAACTATCTATTACTAGTATATATATCAGATATACATACACATATATATACACTAATAATTATGCCTGCCTTCATTCACAGCTCCATTTTCAGCTGACTCGAAAGCAGAGAGGCTGCGCCGAAACAATAAAGGTAAAGTTAGTTTTGTATCTAAAAGCTCGCATCGAGCATTTTCGATTCCGTAAATAAGAAAAAGAATATTAATTAGAAAGTGATTCATGATTGAACTGTTTTTTTTTCACCTGGATTTGGCGAAGAGTCGTAAATTTGAACCGCGTTTTCAGGTGCAATGAAATTAGAATTGTCTACTTCTCGGGCCCACACAGGCTGATGAAATTCATCGCAATGCCATTGCTGTAAATATTGCGGTTGTTTGCTGTCGTTGATTTGTTCCTCGTGTGAGATGGACGGTGCAAACACGTCCATGTAGGCATTGTCAATTGAAGATCCGCTCTAGATGAAAAACACAATTTTAGTAATCAACTGTTTTAGCTTTATTTGCAATACACATAGTAAAACGAATTTTTTTACGAGTTGAATAATACTTACAGCAGCCAAGAGTGCGTCAAGGTTGAAATCGATTCCCGGGTTCACACTAGCAAGCCGTATGGATAAAAACTGGTTTAAAAAAAATTATTTCAATTTCCACAAGATTTATCTTACGTAAACATAGACCAACAAATTGATGTTAATTTAGAATATAAAAGAAAATGTTGTGCCAAGTCTTACCTCCACTTGTCGTTGAAGTGATTGTACGTGATTAATTATCTCATCCAACACCATTGCAGTACCCGAAATCTGTTAGGAAAAAAAAAAGAAAATTTTCTTGATTTCATATATCAGTATATACCAAAAATTGTATAAATCTTCTTGATTCTTCTATTAATTAATAATTAGCACAAGACATAGTTAAATTCTAAAATAAAAGTAACAAATTGTATTGAGATTAGCTAATCTCAATTTGCTTATATCGTGGGCCCGGTTTTGAAATAAGACCTAACTCCAACCAAACTCTTTAACTACCATTTTGACCTAACTCATTTAGTATCTATTCTAACTTCCAAGATCTGTAAACGCAAAGAAACTCTTAGAATCAAAATTAAAGATACGTCGTTCGACTATACTCGTTCACAACTATTTTTCGAGTGATTAAATGACGATCGATTAATATGGTTTAGTAGAAGACAACTGCCGAAGAAAGGACCGATAACAGACACGAACTAAGAAAGCTGAAAAGTTAAGAATAAATGGTTCAAGAATTAAGAGAGGGACACTTCATTCATAGGCCCACCACCTTCTTGGTGCAAAAGCCATCAGCTTTTTTTTCTTTCTTTTCCCCGGTGAAACAATCGACAGCAACCCGTTATGTAATTATCAATATTTATTACGATTAAACAACAAATTACAAATAAAAATAAAAATTAATTCATGCTGGTTTAGTCAATAATTGACAGTGCTTTGACAGCTGACCTTGTTGCATCCCGGGACCAGCTCCTGTAATAACTTCATTCTGGCATTGATCTTTTCCCTTCTTGCCTGTATAAGAGTAATTACAAACTTAAATCCAAATTAAGGCTGCTAATCAAGATTAACGAGACGATTAAAGGTTAATTATGCAAATCCAGATAGTTAATTACTCTCTCAGCTAAGCTGTGGCTGTTGGTGGCTTGGCCTCGGGGAGCTCTCATGTGAACGTACGGTAGCTTTTCACCGCCTTCTTCAGAAGCTTCATTTGCCACTTCTTTGCTCTTTTTATTCGACTCTTTCACCTGAAAAAATAAAATAAAAATTATTACTCAAAATTGCCATTTTCAGTTGCTTTAGAAGTTAGAACCCTAGAGAGAAAGGGGAGTAAAATGACCTTTTTCTCCCTCTCCTTACGCTTGCCGGAATGTAGGCTTTGATTAGATACCGCCGGTGAAGAATATTCCGGTTGGGGATCTGTGTCTAACGGCTCTGGCTTCATAGGCCTTGAAACCGACAATACGGTATTGTTCTCCGGCGAATTATTATCAGCTAAATTAGCAAAGACTGAGAAGTTTGGTTCATTGTCAGTGAGAGTAAAATTGGAAGAAAAAAATGGCGGCAGCGGATGTTTGGCCGGTAAATCTTCGTTGACTAAGAGCTCCACCGCTTGTGGCGGAGGTAGTTCGAGAAGGGCCGTGAATGAGCTGCCGCCGGGTTGTGGAGCTGAGATTAGGGTTTGGATTTCGTCGAATCCGAACCCCATTTCTCCGGATCCAAATTCCCCCACTTCAGCTTTGGGTTCCATACACTAAGAAGAAGAAAAAAACCCCCAAAATTCAGGGCTTGTAAGCAAACACGAAAATTGATGATAATTAGGTTTAAAAGAAACTGAATTCAGCACAACGAAAATCACGCAACTGAAAAACGATGAAGAACAAACACAAAACGTGTTCAACAAATATGAAATTGGAAGAAATTGAACTTAAAATTAACTCCACCGGAGTAAGAAAACGAACTAACCTAAAATGCAGCTCAAAAAATAATATGAAGCGGAAATTAAATTCGAAGGAACCCAGATTGAATTCCACCACTGCTAACCAGTAAAATTAAGCTCAATACCCACTTGATTTTCCAGCCAATTGCAAACTTAGAAGAAGAAGATGAAAATTGGGGAGGGGTTCGAATCAGCTGGGTGATTGAAGTAATATTAAAAAAATAAAGTAAATTGATTGGCTGAAAGAGAGGGGTTGGGTAAAGAGTGTGAAAGCTCCAATTTCAATGGCGGTCAAAATCTATTCCTCTGCACACTTTCTCTCTCTGCAGAGCGTGCGAGTGTAGAAAATGGATTGGCTTTTCTTCATTTTTTTTCTTTTTCCAGATATCCTAAACTGTACTGTAGGCCTAAAGCTGCGGCTGCTTTGGTCCCTACTCCCACTCTGTTTTTTTCTTTTTTCTTTTTTACATTATACTATTGTAGTAAATATTTATATATTACTAAATGGGAAAATACCATTTATATATTACTAAATGGGAAAATACTTTTTCGAAAAAAAAAATGGGAAAATACAGTTTTTGTCCCTCAAGTTTGCACCGATTTCATATTTAGTCCCTCATGTTCAAAATAAATAAATTGATCCCTTATGTTTCAAAAAATTCAATATTTTTAGTTATTTCCATCAATTTCCCATTAAAACTGACGGAATCATGCGTGTTCCCATCACTGCCTTAACAGATGGACTAACGGTAAATCTACAATTCCATTAACAGCTTGCAAATTATACGAGAGACGTAAACCACACTAGGTTAATTATGTATGACAAGCTCGACCTAGCGACCGTTAGTAAGGGGATTCGAACTTGGATCAATAGACATAAGCTCACTTGCTCCAATAGTCAAGTCATCATTTACCGGACAAACACCACATCTTGGTTCAGTCGAAAGTCGTTCCACGTTTAAATAAGTTCCGAAATCGAAGAATACATCGAAAAAATCTTAGGAACACTTTAAAATGATTAAGGAATGGGCTAAATACAGTTTGCACCCTTAAAGTATAGGGGTGGTAACACTTACCCCTTAAAGTTACAAATGTAACACTTACCCCCCTCATTAATGAATTTAATGATAAAACTTTGACTTTGAATGATGTGTCATTTTTTCTTCCCAAATTGTCCTTCTAGCTATTATATTGATGCATATATAATAATATATTTTCAATAATATTTCAAAAAATAAATTTTATAAAATATAATAATTATTAAAAAATATTTTGATTTATGTTTAACTCCACATTTTAATTACTATAAACCCTAAAATAAATAAAAAAATCTCAATTATTTAAAAATATATAAAATACGTTAAACATTTCGAAAGAAAAAAAAATATTTTCAAGACTTAAACATCCAATTTTTATAATAATTATTGACCTGGAAATTTATTTTAGTTACTTAACTATAAATTTCAATAAAAAAATATTTATATACCTAGACGTTTAAATCATAATTTCTTATTAAATTTTGAATACATTTTGTGATTTTCAAAGTAA